CCAGTCCACACCCAGTGGTGTCTCTCCCTGCACTCCAACCAGCAGGCCCAGGTTAGAGTCAGGCCGGGGGAGTTGAGGAATCAGTCGACTGGTTTGGGCAAATCTTGCATCATGTGTCCATTTTTTAAGACCAGAACATTCCAAATCTGTGGACGAAGCCTCCCCTACTCAGCCACTGCCCGCACCTACACGGGGCTTCCCCAGCCCGTCTCAGTGCTCCCTGCATGAGCCCCCGCACCCCCGGCCACTCAGACCACCTGCTGCACCAGTATGGTGGCCCCCTCTCTCCCTCCAGGCCTCTTATCTCCCATCCCTGGCTCCCCAGGACCATTTCCACCTTCATTCTCAGGGCTCGGCTGAGCCACCCCTTCCTTAGGGATGCCCTGCCCCAGTTTAGGTCCCCCCAAGGACTTATTCGTGTCTGTTACAACTCCCATACCTGTCTACGTTCATCACTCAGTGACTGTGTGCCCGCCTCCCTGGATTCCCTGCCCCAGGAGGTCAGGATGGCAACTGATCGCTCTCCCCTGATCCCCAATACTCAGCAGAGGAGGTGCACACAGTAGGAACTCAGTGAGTATTTGTTGAACATATGAATGATTTCCTCTTTTATGCATCTGTGCCTGGCCGAGCCCCTTCTAATGGACAATCTCTTAACATAATGTTTACTCTTCACTGGCTGTATGGGCAGGTCCTATCTTGGAGTGGCTGTTTCAGGCGACTGCAAATCTCTGTTTTGATGATGATATTGATGATAACCTAAAAAACTGTTTGCCACCCTAGGACACGCTTACTGATTTTAGAGAGAGGGGAAGGGAGAGAGAGGGAATATAAAAACATCAACGTGAGAGGCAAACATCGACCAGCTGCCTCTTATAAGCGCACCAACTGGGGATCAAACCTGCAACCTAGGTATGTGTCCTGACTGGGTATCAAACCCACAAACTTCTGGTGTACTGGACGGCACTCCAAGCAACTGAGCCACCTGGCCGGTGCGATGGTGATGATAATTTTAACAAGAACAGTAATACCGGTATCAAAAACAGAAAGTGCTGCTGCTAGTCGAGGTCTCCCTGGTGCCGGGGGCTCTGCTGTAGAGCATTTTGTAAGCATCGCCGTGTTTGACCCTCACCGTGTTCTGATGAACTAGATGGCATCAGCTTTTTCAAAGTGTGGCATCAGAGACACAGAGAGAGATAGAACTACCCATGCAAAGCTGAACTGTGTGAAACCAGGATTTCCGCTCAGGTCTGCCTGGCTGCAAAAGCAGAGCCAAACCGTGATGACCTTAGCATTTAATTCCCAGGCAGTGATCTGGACTCCCTCATCCCAGGGTCCGGGGTGGGGTTGTCCCGTCCCCCCCCCCGCCCACACCGACAATGTGCTGGCACCTGCCAGGCTCCCACTTGCCCGTAGGCAGTTACAGAGGGCTTCCTGGTCTGGAGAACACACAGAAGCCCTTTGCCCTTGAGCTTGACAGCCACCACTTTGCCAGGACCCCTCTCCACCTGGCTGCCTGACTCCACCCCTCCTACCAGTCTGGATGAATGTTTCTTCTTTAATTCCTTCATTGTCACTTCCATACAGTTCAATTTTCTGTCAGTACTGGTTGTTTTTGTTTTTGTTTTTTCTAAATTGTTGGTGTCCTTATTTTGGTTGTGTGAGGAGGCACAGTGTGTCTACTTAGGCCTCCATCTTGCCCAGAAGTCCTGCTGCTGTTCTTGTAAAGAAGTGAGGCTGCATAGACCAGAATGGCTGATCCTGGAGTGTCTCCACCAATCAGCCACACGGGGGCGCTCCAACCAAGCTCACGTTGTAGCACAGGGATACCCACCGGATCTACGCTTTCTTCCTCCTCCCACATTCTCCCAGAAAAGCTCGTTTTGCTTATCTCCTATTTGCATTAGTATGTTATAAATCTAGTACAGGGGAGCAGGCTTTTGGGGGGTTTGTTATGTTTGCTTGGTCTCAGCCCGGGTTTCCAGCAAGTCCCTGGTTCCTGTACAAACGACCAGATGTTAGTTTGAACTCGAGAAGGAAATGTATATTCTGGGGGCCCCACTGAAAAGAAACATTCTTCCTGCAGTGGGAGAGTCCCAGGGTTTCAAAGAACAGACTTCCATTTATATTTGGACTGTGGGTCTTCCAGCAGCAGACAGGCGAGAGTCTGACTGGTAAGAGGAATCATCAGTAAAGAATTCCGGGGGCAGTTTGATGTTGGTGGGGGAGAGCGTGGGGCTGTGGCCCATGGGCTCCAGGCCTGCACGGTGGGCAAACTTAGGAAAGCCTTCTCACCTCTGCACCTCTTTACCTGCCAGAGGAAGGAGCAAGGCTCTATGCCCACAAGTCCCTTCCCATCCCCCAGTCTCTGGTTCTGGCTCTGTTGTTGGCAACAGTGGGAAGTGATTTTCTGAAGGTTATTTTTGGTGGGGATCTGGCAGGCATCCACCTGGTGGCGAATACATGCCTCATGCAGCTTGTATCATTCCTTTTGGAGACATATGTACCTACACAGAAATCTAAGATGCTTGAGCTGGAAGGGACCACTAAAACCATTTAGGTACTAATTCTTTTTTTTTTTTTAATGGATGAAGGAGCTGAGTCCCTGAAAGGTTATGTGACATTTAGTGATCAGAATTATTATCATCATCATTGTCTGGCAGCTCTTTACAAAGTGATTTCCCCCGCCATTATTTCCATTTATCTTGCCAATGCTCCTCATTTTACAGGCGGGGAGGCTGAGGCTCAGAGAGACTGGGCAACTTGTTCAATGTCATACAGCATGTTAGAGCTAAACTGCAAACCCAGGTCTTAAAATAATTATAGTATTCTGTGGAATTCCCTAGAAATCCCAGACAGTTCCAAGCTACTGCGGGAAAGGATGAATTCTGCTGTGATACACAGACCTGCCTACTGACTGACTGAATGAACTAATCAGTGAGCCGAATAATCCCATTCACTCATCCGAGGGGTGCCTCCAGTGGGCGTGTCCTGGACTAAGTGCTGAGAATACAGTGATGAACTAGGCAGAAATGGTCCCTCTCCTGGGAACTCAACAGGGTGGTCTTTAACTCATAGCCTTACAAATTGTGTCCACCAGTTTGTGTCCAATTCAACTTTCTCTGACTTAGATAAAACACCCGTCACTCCTGCCTTCTCACGCTGAAGTTCTGGACAAGATGACACAGACATACATTAGTACGCACAGGGCCACCTTCTGTGTGCGTGAGCATACTGCCGGTCTCGGTGTCTCAGAGCCCAGGACATCTCCTGGAGGGCATTCGGTCAGACAACAGGCTCTTGGTCACTAAGCAATGCATTTTGGTGGCACGTGTCTCTGGCTGCCCAATGCTGCAAACTCACTTTCCACCACTGATACAAGGTGCCCGGCAGAAGTGCCACTGCCTGCATTTCATGGTCCCATAACTCCTTTGATTACCTTTTGTACTTTAAAGGGTAAAGTGGAAAGGGGCACGTTTGGTGTCAGACTGGGTTCGAATCCTACCTCTAATCATTACACCTCAGGGATTACTGGCAACCTATTTAACTTCCCACCATAAATTAAAACACAACACAAAACTACAAAGGTCAATCTGCTGAAGTATCCTCACCCCTCAAAGGCAAAAAAAAAAAATCAGCCCTCTTGGATTTCTAACCGCAGAGCATCTCCGTTAGTCTTGCAGTTTGAACCCGCCTGAGAGGTTTTCTTCCTGCATGCTCACAGCACTCTCAGCCAGCAGTCGAGTCAGGGTTTATGAGTTAAAATGTTTTTATATACCTGGTAGGGAAAGCTATATTTCTATGTATCTTGAATAATTAAGACATAATTTGTATCTGTGTGTGTGTTAAGGGGAATAGAAGATTATCTCATGAAAACACAGAACTTTATGACTAGATGAGACCCTAATGGCCTTCTCACCAATGCCCTTATTTCAAGTCCAGAAAGACCTCGGGAAGCTTTACGACTTGATCAAGAGCAGAGTCGTGAGCTGAGCCAGTTTTCCTATTTTATAGTCCAGTGTTTCCTGCTACAAATACTTTCTATGGTAAAGACCAAACAGAAAATACCACTAGCCTGTCGTATTTGATGCACAGAGGAGCTGAGGCACACAGGGACCCGGGAATTCACTCCATGGCTCTGCTCTGCTTTGCAGACTTGTCCCAGCCAGCCAGTAGCACAAGCTCACTTCAGTGAAAAGTGAGGTGTCTGTATCTGTATCAGAGACCACTGTATCTGTAGCAGTTGTCCATGCAAATTTAGTAGCAAAGCGCAACTAGAGGCGGGCTAAGCCATGCACATCAGAGCCGCCCAGAAGGTCATTAACATACAGAGTCCCTGCCCTGTCCCTGAACCTCTGGAGGGCGCCTACAGTTCTGCAGCTGAGAGCCAGATTCCACAGTGAAGGTGCATTCTGAGTTCGTGTGCCTCAAGCTAACAGTTCTTGGGGAGGCTACGCCAGGGGGGTTAGTGTGACTTAGAAAGGAGAGTTCCTATAAAACCTGGTCATAGGGGGGACTAGACTGACCTAGACTGCATAGACACACCAGAGATGGTGGAAGAGGTAGCATGTTGTAGGTGAGAATTTGTTTCAAAACTTGCTCTTTACATACTAGTTTATGAAGTTATTTGGTGATAGGATTTAAGCCATTATTTTCATTCAAGAAACATTTTTTAAATTAAGGAAGTCTGGATCTTACAGGATGTGCATGCATCTCACAAATGGTTTTCCTTTGCCTTATTGGGGCAGGCAGGGGTTGAAGCCTCTACTGCCACCTGGTGGCAGCACTGGAATCCGCATTCTCTCAGGCATTTACCGTAAATACGTAAGGGCTGGCTTAGGGCCAGGTGACTGGGACATGGTGACCACCTTCCAGTTTGTCATTTCAGAAGGACATCAATCGACAGTGAAATCATGTGGCTTCAGTGTACAGTGTCACAGCAATATCACAGCCCACCGAACAAGCAGTCTAACATGAGTTCCGCTGGTTTCATTTTTCAGGAATTAGCGGCGGCCCCTTGGAAAACCACTACCAGCTAAAGCAGTTCCACTTCCACTGGGGAGCAATGGATGAGTGGGGCTCGGAGCATGCGGTGGACGACCACGTGTACCCAGCAGAGGTTTGTAGATGTCACCACTGCAGTGGCGAATATGTGGATGCTTTCTACGTGCCCAGCTCATGTGCAGGACAGCCGACCATCCCAGTGGCTGAGAAAGGGAGGCTTTTCCGGGATGTGGGGCTCTCTGTGCTCAAACCAAAGCAACTGGCCGCCCTGTCCATTCAATCACACAACTGTCCTAAAGGGAGGGTATTTAACAGAAGAAGAGACTGAAGTTCTCAGTGGTTAGGTAACTTACTGGAACCAGACAGCTGGGATTCAGGAACAGTCTGTGCCCCTGGCAGCTTCTCACGCAGCCCCGTGCTCACCGGCGTTGATTTTGGACCAGCCCCTCCCTGTCCTTCCAGGCATTTGAGGCCTCCTGCTGAGAATCTGAGAAATCTTTGCAATAGAGATCATCCCAGAACAAAGTGATATTTGCAACATTCAGAAATGGGAATCAGGGGGAAAATGAGCAGGTAAATGTTAGGAATTGGTGTTTGTAGTTATGGTGGGGTGATAACTGGTGCCTTATAGATTTCCACCAATATTTTATTCTGAAATTCTTTGAAAAAATGTAAAGAACTGTGCAGGAAGTGAGAGCCCACAAGTCCGCCTCCCAGATCTTATATTAACATTTTTCCGTGTTCACTTTATCACACCTCTGTCCACCCACCCATCCCTTCCTCCACCCGCCAAACACCTGAATTTCAAATGCATTTCAAGTTATGAATGGCGGGGTTTTTTTCAACATTTTGTTGCCCATGTTACAGAGTAATACTACAATTAAAATCAAACTAGAGTCGGCCAAACTAAAAATCACCTGTAGTCACACACCAAGAGGTGACCTATGGGGATAGCTTATATATAGGGAGTTACATCTATTGTTATAATTATACACATATTTACAAACATGAAAAAAGGAACACGCCTCCTTTCATCTGACAGCACACCTTTTATCTTCATAACTGTGTATCCTCACCATGGCTTTTAATGAACAATTATTTTAACAGGGAGGTCGTTGTAATTTATTAATATACAGACAAGATCCTGGACGGGACCTACGAGGGCCTCCCTCTGAGTCAGATCCCTCCCGGCCTTGCCTGGGACACAGGTTGTGGGGTGCTGTTTCCTCTGGGGAGCTGGCAAGGTGAAGCCCGCTCCCAATATGGTGTCTGTGAACGAAGGAGGCTGCAGGCAGGACCCTGGGCCCCGCTGCCTCCATTTCTGGGAGGTTGCAATAGGGCAGCAGGTGGGGGTTTCCAGATCAGCTATGGATGGGCCTCACCACCTTCTCTGTCCACAGTGCATGTGTCTGGGAACACGGAGACCTGGGAGTGAAGAGCCACCCAGAGCACAGGTGGTGGACCCAACACCCCAGCAGGGGATCCCGGGGCCCTGGGATCCAGCCACTGTGTGGGGAGGGCTTGCTGGGCTCTGTCCTCGAGGACTCGGGGTTTGGGTCACCATTCAGAAAGGCCTCCTCCACGACTCATTCCCGTAGAAGGAAGTCTGTATGGACACCCAGGCCATTCTAGGTTCTGAGCCAAACCCAGCATCGGGTTTGGCTCTGCCCCCCACTTGCCAGTGACCCAGGAAAGCCTGTTTCCCAAGCCATTTCCCTGCCTCTGATTTAAATCCGTGTCATCTGGTCAATCCTGATGCCGAATCTGGACTTGGGAAAATGGAAGCAGGGGTTCGAAATAAGGACACAAAGCAAGTTCAAGGGAGGGTGACCAATGCAGAAAAAATGCAATATCTGGGGCATTAACAATTATTTGTTGTTTATCTGAATTTCAAATTTAACGGAGAGCCCTCTATTTGATCCAGCAAACCACATTCAAGGATATCTGAAACACGAAAAACAGCAAGAAGTCCACCCCCCATTTTTATTTTATGAAGTTTATAAAGCCTATTGCTCTCCCACCAAAATCACCGAGGTGCTTGCTGTGCGTGACTTTGTTGGCCCTTCGGGGGCTGCAGGCAGGCTGCTGGCGTCTGGGCCGAGCCCTTCCCAGCCCCGAGGGCATCAGGGAGTGCGCAGGGGGGACTGCCACAGGGGGGCAGTGACGGCCCTGCTCCCTGCCGCACTGCGGTGGGTGCAAATCTTTCTCTCCTGTGTTTCAGCTGCATTTAGTTCACTGGAATTCTGTGAAATACCAACACTACAAAGAAGCTGTACTGGGAGAGAATGGCTTGGCTGTGATAGGCGTATTTTTAAAGGTAATCTCTTGCTGGGGTATAGCTCTCCTCATGGAGACAGCGGTGTCCAGTAAAGAAGAACGTCTTCTTAAACGCTGCCTGCCTAGAATGAGGCGCGCGCCGCACCCTGTCCCCACCTTTTTCAATGAACGCTCCTACGCCTGTGCTGTTGCAGCTGGGGGCCCATCACGAAGCACTGCAGACGTTGGTGGAGGTCCTGCCGGAAATAAAACATAAGGTAAGCTACGTGTATCAAAATCAGCGTGATTGGGAAGGCAAAACCGTCTAGAACACTGACTCATTTGTGAGGAAAACAACCAGTGTGGTGGAGGGAGTGTTGCCGAGAGGGTCTGAGCCCCGCCCTAGAAACTGGACGCACTGGGGCAGCTCCAGCTGGGTCACTGGCTGGCTCCCTCTCTGTCACTGTGCCCCTGTTCTTCCCGGGGCCCCTCTCGTCTCAGTATAACTGGGGTGCTAGACTCGATTCGAGTTTCCAAAAATTCGGTCATCTAGGCAGCATCTTGAAGATTTTTACTATGTCCCCCTGCACTAGTCCTATTCCAGGCAATGACATTCATTAGTGAAAATGTTTGTGTTAAAGCTGAATGAAATAGATACCTATTAACATTTAAGAGTGCCTACCCAAGTCCCAAGCGCCACCTGGCACAATCCTGGTGGGGGGACTGAGGACCACCCCAGCCGCAAGGGCACGGAGACCACGGGGAAGGGAGTCCTCTCCCCACCCCCTCTTGTGTAGCAGAGTAGATCTTGGCCCAGCTCCCCTTGGACACCTTGTTGCATTAAGCATGATTCAAAAACGACAAGGACAACAATGTAGCTTTTCTCCAACATCAGCTAAGAAAGGACTTTGATAGAGAAGTGGAAATTCCAAAGAATTGCAGTTTATTTGTTCAGTACCAAACAAAAGCCTTCTGAGACAGAAGCAGTCACGGCAGTCCTTGAACGCGTGGACGGTTGGGGCTCCCACCTGTCTTAACAATGGTGAGCTTCGCTCCACAGGAAAGCAGGGGGTCAACCCTTCCTCTGTTGGTTCACGGGGGTCCTTTGATCTGGGCGCTGCATTCCCCTTGATGTTGACCTCTGGGTGGGCCTCATGGGACCGAGACCAGATCACCCTTCCCACACAGCACTGCCATGTCTGCCATCTCAAAAACTCCACAAGGTCAAGGTGCTCAGTGTATCCTCTTCCTCACTGGCCTTTGGCCAGAGTAAACCTGGGATGTTTTCCCCATCAGCATCCACCCCCTACAAGCCATGGTCTCCACCTCCTGGTGGGAAAGAAAGGAGCCGGCTGCGAGGTCCTGTTCACTCAGGGGGGCGTTTTCCTTCTATGGAAGGCTCTGTAGCTCACACATGTGCAGGCATGCACGCACACACACACACATGCACGCACACACACACAGGCTAACTGAGGGTCTCCTGAGCCAACCACATGGGAGAAAGGGTGTCAGTGCGGTGACAGAAGATGCTGCCTGGGCTCCATTCTGGTCCTGTTGATCATCTCGGGGCCTCAGTTTCCTCACGTGAAAAATGAGTTAGAATTTTAAGAGGTAAAAGGCCCAACCTTGGCAAGCAGCAGCCCACGCTCCGAGGGTTGGGAAGCATAATCCACGAGAGTCATTTGTCACAGTCTATGCTCCGTACTGGGTTCTGTGTCGATTTAAAAAATTTTGCAGTGTTACAAGTCACCTTAGTGGTGTACATTCTATAGGTTTTGACAAATGTGTAGAGTCCTGGGTCCCTCACCCAGGACCACACAGAAAAGTGCCCCACCCCGCACATTTCATCCTATGGCCCTGGTACAGTCAAGCCCCCTGCCCCCAAGCCTTGGTGACTACAAATTTGTTCCAAACCTTATGATTTTTCCTCTTCTCCCACTGTTACTCTCCCATGTTGTACTGAATGGAGCTTTCTCTGTAAGCCGCCTTCCCTCCTTTTGCAGTGGGATGTACATTTTAGAGAAGAGAACCACAAAGGCTTACGGCAGAGGCGCCCATCCGCCAGGAGCTGGACTGTCTGTATCCGTGATGGCTGGTGGTCCAGATCGTGCCCTGGGCTCCCACCTAACACTCCAGCCAGCGGGGCCTACAGCCTTGTACAGAAGGGGCCCTGATTGGCTTTGGGGCCCCACCTGGCTTTGGGGGCCCCGCTGGGGAAGAGCTTTCTGTATCATAGGCTGTTCTGAATGCTAAATGCTTCCGGGACAGGACACACAACTCTCGGGGACCTTACCAGAAACACATAGATAATTGGCAAGTAACTGTCAGTGAGCAGAGTGCTGCCTTCGCATCCACCCTGCAGCCCACACGGAGGGAGGAACTAGTCCTGGCTTTTAAAAAATTATTATTATATTTTATTGTTTGTGCTATTACAGTTGTCCCAATTTTCCCCCTTTGTCCCCCTCCACCCAGCCACCCACTCCCTCAGGCAATGCCCACACCATTGTCCACATCCATTGGTCATGCATAGAAGTTCTTTGGCTACTCTGTTCCCTAACTGCACTTTACATCCCCCCGGCTATTCTGTAATGACCTATTTGTGCTTCTTCATCCCCTCACCTCTTCACCCACCCCTCACACCCCTCCCATCTGGCAACCATCTAAATGCTCTCTGTATCCATGATTGTTTCTGTTCTGCTTGTTTATTTTGTTTTTTAGATTCAATCATTGATAGATATGTATGTATTGCCACTTTACTGTTCATATTTTTTATCTTCTTAAAGAAGATCTTTTAACATTTCATATAATAATGGCTTGGTAGCGATGAATTCCTTTAGCTTTTTCTTGTCTGGGAAGCACTTTTTCTGCCCTTCCATTCTAAGTGACAGCTTTGCTGGACAGAGTCATCTCGGATGTAGGTCCTCGCTCTTCATCACTTTGAATAGTTCTTGCCTATCCCTTTCAGCCCACCAAGTATCTTTTGAAAAATCAGCAGACAGTCCTATTAGAGCTCTCTTGTAGGTGACTAACTGCTTTTCTCTTGTATTTAAGCTTTCACATTTTGGTTAATATGTGTCTTGGTGTGGACCTCTTTGGATTTCTTTCTGTTCTTTGGGTTCTCTGCGCTTTCTGTACTTGCAAGTCTGCTTCCCTCATCGAGCGAGGGAAGTTTTCTGTCATTTCTTCAGATGGGTCTCCAATTTCTTGTTCTTTCTCTTCTCCTTCCAACTCTGAGGCAGACCTCCCGCAGCGCCCGGGTTCTGCCACTGTCTAACTGGATTTGAGAAAGTCATTTTCATCTATCTCACCTTCTTCGTCAATAACATAAAAATACCCCTTAAAGGGTGGTTCTGAAAATTCAAGGCAATAGTCTCAGAAGCCGTTTGGCAGCCTGTGGGGCTGGGCACTAGGGGGAGGAGAGGAGTACACCCACTAGTACCTTTTGAATTTTGTCCTGTGTACATAGGTGACCTGTTTCCTTCAGGAATTAAGTAGAGCAAAAATGGAATGAATACCCTGCAGCCCTAAAAAAGAATGAAACAGCAACACACACTACCCCGTGGATGAGCCTTGACAATATAAGCTGAGCGAGAGAAGCCAGTCACAAAAGTCCAACCACTGTATGGTCCCACTCAGGGGAAATGTCCAGCACAGGCAGATCCCCGTGGGTGGAGAGCAGGTCAGCGGGGCCCTTGGCAGAGTGGGGCGGCATGGAGAGGTTGGGGCAGCAAGAGCCATACAGCATTTACTGAGGCTCCTTTTTATTTCTGGAGTTCTTTTTTGAAGTGATGAAAACATTCTAAACTTGACTGTGGTGACTGAGAGCTGCACATGCCTCTCTGTGAATATACTAAAAGCCATAAATTGCATACTTTGTTTTTTTTTTATTTTTACTTATTTACTTTTACAGAGACGGGAAGGGAAAGAGAAAGAGGGGGAGAGAAACATCAAGTATGTCTGCCTCTTGAGCATCCCTACTAGGGTCCTGGCCCGCAACCCAGGCATGTGGCCTGACTGGGAATTGAACCGGCAACCCTTTAGTTCGCAGGCTTGTACTCAATCCACTGAGCCACACCAGCCATGGCAATTGCACACTTTCAAGGAGTGAATTCTGTGCTGTGTGAATTAGACTGCAATATTGCTGTTCTGAAGCCATTCCAGGATGGTCAGTTACAAAGTGGAATGACACCTGGCGCACGCAGTGTGAACCGGTTTGCTTCCTTCTTGTCAGCAGCTTCACTAGCATCTCCCGTTTCTGACTGACGAAAGCCAGCTGTGGGTGGACACACGAATGTGTCTGGGTCCTTTGACTTTGCCTTTGAAGGCCAGGTGGAAGGATCCGATGCCCAGGGAGGCCTCCTTCCTGCGGGAGAGGATGTCTGCTTCCTGCCTGAACATCCTGCAGCGCCCAGCCTGGAGCTGGCAGTGCTATGCTGCTTACAGGCCTGTCCCTACATCAGCCTTCAGTCTCACCTGATTCACAGAGGGGCGAAAGCCACCGTCCTGGGCCTGTCAACCTGAGGACCCTGAGGGATCATTTCCCATTCGTGCAAAAGCCTGCTCAGGCGTCTTTGGCTCACAAGGGGGCAGACAGTGGCCCAGAGGCCCTCCTTCCTCTTCACACCCTGGCGCTGTGCCGGGCAGCACCAGAACAGTGGCCCCTTGCTCCTGCCTGTGCTGGTGGGTTTCCTCAGTGGTCCCAGCCCTAAGCAGAAGCAGGGGCGTCCCCACCTGCAGGCTCCCCCGACCACATCTCTTTTTATTGCTTTTGGTCTCATTTATTCATTCCAGCCTCTTTGCTGTTCCTCCAGCCTCTCAGGGCCTCCACTCTGTCCACCCCAGAACCTGCATAGCCTCTTCTGCCACCTCCTCCAGGTCTTTGCTCAGATGACTCTCCCGGTGAGGCCTCAGGTCCACCCCCTTAAATCCGCCCCCCACACACTACCCTGCTTTTATTTTCCTCCATCATGCTCATCACTGTGTAAGCTGCTAGGTACGTACTTATTATTTGGCATGCTATTGCTACCCTCCCGTAAAAGGCGAGTGCCCCGAGGGCAGGTGGTTTTGTACCCCAGCACCTAAGATAGAGTCAGACTCACTGTGGGTGCGAAACGCATGTCTGTGAGTGAGTGAGTGAGTGAGTCGGCGTCCCTGGAACTCAGAAAGGCAGGTTCCTCCACATCCTTTGTGAAGCACAGAAAGGGAGCAAACAGGAATTCTGAAGTTCAGAACAAGGGGTTCCGAGCAGAACGTGCCGGCGGGAGTCCCCATGGGAGCAGCACAGAGATCCGGGCACGCAACGGCCAAGAACAGCTGTCTGGGCCCATTGTCTCCGCCCGCTCCCGGTGGTACAGGGGATCCTGGCACGAGAGTCAGGGAACGGGATCCACGCAGGGCAGCCTCCTGAGTGCACATCCTTACCACGGCTCTCACATCAGGGCAGCTGCTTTAGGACACATTCAGCTGTCTTAAACGGGCAGCCACGGTGGAAAACAGTCTGGCAGTTCTTCGAAAAACTAAACAGAATTCCCATAGGATCTGACATCTCCACTTCTAGGTATAAAGGCAAAGTAACTGAAAGCCGGGTCTTGAAGAGATAGTGGCTTATTCGTGCTCACGGCGGCATTACTCCCCGTAGCCAGGGGAGGAAAGCAGCCCAAGCTTTACCCGTCGACAGATGCCTGGATGAACACGATGTGGCCTTAGAAAGGGAAGGACCTCTGACACGCGCTACAACACGGATGGACCTTGAAGACATTCTGCTGAGTGAGCTCAGCCAGTCACAAGAGGACAAATGCTGCATGCTGCCCCTCACACGAGGTTCCTGGGGGGTCGGATGCACAGACACGGAGGGCAGGGTGGTGGGCCTGGCCGGCGGCGCAGCTGGATGGCGCATCCTCCCACACAGCACATGCCTAGGTTGCAGGTCGGATCCCCAGTCGGTGTGCGTATGGGAGGCGCCAATCGATGTCTCCCTCTCTCTACCCCCACCCCTTCCTCTCTCTCTAAAATCAATAATTCCTTGGGTGAGAGACTTTTAAAAAGTAGAAAGACAGTAGGATGGTGGGTGCTGGGGCCCGGAGTGTGAGTGTTCAGTGGCGGCGGTCCAGGCTGAGAAGAAGTGAGGTCCTGGGGCAGACGGTGGGGATGGTTGTGAGCGTTGCGAATGTGCTTGATGCCACAGACTTAAAAATGGTCACAACAGTAAACTTTATGTTGTGCATGTTATTTTACCACCATTTTTTTAAACTGATATTTTCACAGCCTGTGTATATGAAAACAAATAACTTTAAAAGAAAAAACACAAGCATTCAGTGAGGATTCGTGTTCTGCTGCAAGAGTCATATGTTCTTGTCGCTGCTTCCAAGCGTGGCAACCGTGGCCTCACAGCCTTTATCTTGGGGCACACACTTCCCCCGTAGCGGCATGGCGGCCACATCTCGGAGATAAAGAAGGAGCCCCATTCCCTTCCTTCCTGGGCCCCCACATCTCTGCCCAGGCACTGACGCAGCCTGTGGTCTGTCTCTCAGGACACACGGGCGGCTGTGGGCCCCTTCGAGCCCTCCCGCCTGCTGCCCCACTGCCGGGATTACTGGACCTACCCGGGCTCCCTCACCACTCCCCCACTAACCGAGTCGGTCACCTGGATTGTCCTGAAGAAGCCCATCGAAGTGGCTGCGAGCCAGGTGAGCTGTGCCTGCAGGGGTGCAGTGGGACCTCACTGAAGAAATTGCTGGAAAGTGTCACTGAGATACTGTGAGCGAGCATCGTGGGGTTTATCTTTTGGTGCATTTTGGATGTCCCTGCATGAGAAGAATTTTCCAGTTGAAGTACAAGTTTGTTGAGATTAGACAGAGGTTCAGAAATCGCAATTCTTCTGACTTTGAGATATTAGTGTGTGAGAGAAAGAGAGAGAGACAGGGGGTAGGGGCAGGGGAAGGAAGAGGGAACTGATATGGCGGAAACAGTGACAATTTAGCTGATCTAATCTTTAGTGGCTTGGAGTTCAGCCTGGCAAGCATCCCTAACGACTAGTGTGGAACTTGGTCAATGCTTCCTCTCCGGTCTATGTCAGGATAAAGTTACTTTAAAAGAACAGAAGTGACATTATAATGGTGACACAGGTCCTTGCTCATAATGGGCCCATAATAGGTATTTGTTGGTGAATGAATTAACCAAGAAAGGGAGGCCATAGATGGGTATTGGGAAGCCAGTGCAGAAGCCGGGCCATTGCAGGAGAAGAGAACATTCTAGTTTGTTCCACTCCTTTGGACGATAGACCAGTAAGGAATTGGGGTTGCAGAGGGTTTTCTCAAAGACCGTATTAAGAAGTTACAGAGCTATATATGCCAAGAGAAAACTCCAGAAGGACTATATTAGTCAACTATTGCTACAATAATGCGACATAACAAACCACCCGAAACTCAACAGCGTATAACAAGCATTTGTTTTTTCTGCTTGTGGGTCTGTGATTGGCTGGGAGGCTGTACGTGAGACTGTGGGTGGCTGGGCCAGGCCCAGTGTCTCTCCTTCCCCCGGGACCAGTGACTACCAAGGGCTGCTTCTCACAGTGAAGGATGAAAATGCAAAGGCAAGCCCAGCCACACGTGCACACTTAAGGCTTCTGCTAGCATCACGCCCATTCACACCCTGTCAGCCAAAGCAAGTCGCAATGGCAAGGCCGCAGTCAGTGGGGCAGAGAGGAGGTGAGTGCGTGTTCACTGGACAACGCCATAATTTACCACGCAGAGACACACCAAAAAGCTGCTACTTGTCGTCCCAGGCTCATGGAGCTGCAGTGGTTTTTATTTTCTTTTTCTTATCTCCATATTCTATTTTTTTCTAAAATAAGTAGATTTTATGTATATATATTTTAAAAGCTGTAGTATCTTTTTGTCTGGAAGTCTCAAGAATCAGAGGAAGCCCGCCTGTCTAGGGCAGTTTAGACTGAGGGGTGACTACCACACAGCAAGCATGGAGTCACCACCCCACTGCCCCGCCCAGGCACCCATTTCTGGTCGATCGCTGCAGTTTCTACCGCCGCTGGCTCAGCTATACTCTTTCTGACGGCTCTGGATGTTCTCTTAGAACAGCCTCATGAGTCTGTGAAACTATCCTTTTATTTAAAAGTCATGGAATGATGCCCTTTGCTTTGAGAGGCCAACCATCGAGATGTGGGTTGCAGAATACCTATCCTGCCCCCAAACCAGAACTGTTGCAGACATCAGGAAGGCCTTGATGGAAGAACGGCCCTCGTCACCAAGACCCCTCTGTCACTCAACAAACAAGTAATAAGCACCCGTTCTGTGTGAGGTGTGTAGCAGGAGAGGGTGGGAGGAGGCAGGAAGGAAGAGGCTTATACAAAAACAATGATGTCAGTCTCTGCAAACTGCTGTCTGGTGGGAAGGGGATAGTTTTAAAGCAGGTGGTAAGGAAATATATAAAAATACAGAGCGGAAGTCCCTTACCCTGACCAGGGGAGCTGGGGAGGTGCTGTGTACACCCCCTGGACAGTAGGAAGGAGATTGCCAAGTGGAGGAGGAGAGAAAGGCTGCATTTCTGAAAACATGAGCAAAGCAAGAGCACTGAGCTTGAGTGCCTGGGAGACAGTGTGCACCGTGCCCTACACAACTCTAGAGGGCGCTTCATCAACCATGAGGATCTAACTTGCTCAATAAGTGGGCCCTGTGAGGGTAAAAATGTCACTTCTGTATTAATTACACATGTGAGTTATTTTCACAGAGTTCATAAGTACTTTCTGAGCACAAATGAGATGATACATAAAAAATAATCTTTTAGTTCCTTCAGTGAAAAAGTAAATCAGCTATTACTTTAGCATTTATATTGTATTTATAAGTTCTCCATCCCTGTGTAACAAATAGTTCCAAAACTTGTAGCTTAAGAAAATGAT